TCTCAAGGTTCACTCATGTTGTAGCATGTGTCAGAATTTCATTTCTTTTTTTAAGGCTGACTAATATTCCATCTTATGCATATACCACATCTTGTTCATCCATTCATCTGTTGATGGACATTTGGGTGTTTTCATCTTTTGGATTTGTGAATAATGCTGCTAAGAACATTGGTGTGCAAGTAGCTGAGTCCATGCTTTTATTTCTTTTGAGCATCTATCTAGAAGTGGAATTGTTGGATCATATGGTAATTCTGTGTTCAACCCTTTGAGGAATTTCCCACCCCTTTTATTTTACTAGAGGATTCTACCAATCTGTCTAGTAAAATAACTTGTAGATTCTGAAGGTAGTGTTTGGAAGTGCCTGGTACCTAGTGAGTGCTCCAAACATAGTCTTACATAGGCTTCCTTAACAGTTCTCTGTCCCACACTAAACCAAGTGTGGAAATAAAACAACCCAGTATAATTTCTACTTAGGAAACTACTTATGAGCTGGTCTGCTTAGCAAACAGATTTTGTTAAGTTTAGATGCACATCAAGAAAAGTGTTCAGTAAACTTCTCATTAACAAATCCAGTCAGGCTGTATGATAAAAATGTTACTTTTGGAATTCTTTTAACTTTTAAAGAGAAGCCTGTTCTAGTGATAGTTTTTATATTGTATGCTGTAGGCAGCCTAGGTAATTATAAAAGGAGAGAATCTCAGTAGTATCTGAAATAATTCTGTAGTAATCTTTGTTGATTGTTTTCTCCATACCTGTGACAGGTGACAGTTCGTGAGGCTATAAACCAAGGTATGGATGAGGAGCTGGAAAGAGATGAGAAGGTATTTCTGCTTGGGGAAGAAGTTGCCCAGTATGATGGGGCATATAAGGTAACCCAGGATACATGAAAGCAATATAAATTGAGGTGGCTGTTAGCCCCCATATACATTTAAAAGTAATGAGATCATTGTGTAATTTTAGGTTAGTCGAGGCCTGTGGAAGAAATATGGAGATAAGAGGATCATAGACACTCCCATATCTGAGGTAAGCCTTCCGTCAGGAAGCATACCTTTCAGGGGCATGTTAAAGTGTACACTGTTCTGATTTTTATGGATTTTCACTTGTGTTTATGTTTTACTTATAGATGGGCTTTGCTGGAATTGCTGTGGGTGCAGCAATGGTATGTAATCCTCTTTATGAATCTCATCCAAAGAGATTTAACATGACCTTTTAAAAACATTGAATTTTGGAATGGTTGCCACTTTTTATTGCTTTTTAGTTTTTTTAAGATCTTTGTTTTTGATTTGACAGGCTGGGTTGAGGCCCATTTGTGAATTTATGACCTTCAATTTCTCTATGCAAGCCATTGACCAGGTTATAAACTCAGCTGCCAAGACCTACTACATGTCGGGGGGCCATCAGCCTGTGCCCATAGTCTTCAGGGGGCCCAATGGTGCCTCAGCAGGCGTGGCTGCCCAACACTCACAGTGCTTTGCTGCCTGGTATGGGCACTGCCCAGGCTTAAAGGTGGTCAGCCCCTGGAATTCAGAGGATGCAAAAGGACTTATTAAATCAGCCATTCGGGATAATAATCCAGGTCAGTAGAGTCACCCTTAGGTCTCTTTTGAACCTTAAAGAACTAAGTTGAAATCTTTGCCTGGAAGGAAGCCGTTAAAGGCTTCTAGTTAGGCTTAGATATATCATATAAAATGTTAATTAATGATTTACAGATACAGTAAAGACCGTTTTAAAAAAGGTGTTTTTGTTTTTGCTTTTCTGAGTACAAAGGGGCCTGTTAGGTATCTACAACGCTGGTCTAACTACAGTAGATAAAATGAGGACTGACCAGACAATAAATGCCAGCACCTAAATCATCCTCTCAAGGCTACTGGACACAATAGATGTGAGGCTTCCTAATCGGCATGGTGAAACTTTTCACAAAATGAATGATAGTGTTGTATATCCATTTGGTCATGTAGTCACTTCTGTTAAATATTTGTATTTTGCAGTGGTGGTGCTAGAGAATGAACTGATGTATGGAGTTCCTTTTGAATTTCCCTCAGAAGCTCAGTCAAAAGATTTTCTGATTCCCATTGGAAAAGCCAAAATAGAAAGGCAAGGTAAGAGCGCTTATACATGCTTAAATATTATTTGTAATCTAGCCCCTGTTATTTATGTTGGTGAAATTCATTCCTTTTTTTCTTTTTTAAGAGGTGGGGGAGGGTTGGATGGAGAGGGAGAGAGAATCTTAAGCAGGCTCTAAGCCCAGCGCGGAGCCCAACTCGGGCTCAATCTCACGACTCTGAGATCGTGACTTGAGCTGAAATCAAGAGTCAGAAACTTAACCGACTGAGCCACCTAGGCACCCCTGATCAAATTCATTCTTGAGGTTACTGCCCTTTACTTTGATTAGGAAATTAGAGGAGGAGTTCAAGTTAAGAAATGTGTCAAGCTTTGCTCCTACACTTGTGCTTTCCTAATTCTCAGTCCAGTAGATTTGAATTTCATCTCTAGGAAGGCTACCACATTCCTCACCTCCCTGGAACAGAGCTGAGTTGAAGATTTTACAAATGAACAAGAGCCACAGTGGCTGCAGAGCAGTACAACATCTTCAGTTTCAACCTGGCCTCTGATCTGTGACCACTTTGTTTCAGGGACACACATAACCGTAGTTTCCCATTCAAGACCTGTGGGCCACTGCTTAGAAGCTGCGACAGTGCTATCTAAAGAGGGAATTGAATGTGAGGTATGTGGACATTCACTTCTTAAAGAATCAGAAAGTTTCCTTTTAAATCTAAACCCCAGAAACAGGAGTTTGAATTCTGTAACAGGTTAACTAAGTGTAAAATCTTGCTTTGACACTCAGTTCTGCCTCTGCTTGAAACTGGGAAGCTTCTTGCTTTTCAAATACCTAGCTTTTTACCATGTAGGTTCTAGCTCTGTTAGAGTAGTACCTGCTTTCTCAAGTTGGGATCCAACCTTGGAGCTGGAGGTCGGGAGAGGGGCAAACTAGAAATCAGGGTCTAACTCTTTCAGGTCCAGGAAGTACCGCTCGCAGGTTACACTTGGGCAAGATCCGTACCGTGAATCTCAGCCGCATCAGCTGTAAACCAAGGAGAATACGTTTACTGTCCCATCAGGGTGGTTGTGGGAATTACACGTAGTTTAGCACCTGGTGCACGGTGAGCAGTCAGTTGGTAGTTATTAGTTGTTTTGACGAGAAGGAAGTTAAAGCCCAAGAGGATGAGTGAATTCTTAACAGAACCACTTGTGGTAGAAGTAAAGACTTATGTTTTAATTACAATTTCCCATTTTACGTTTTGTTCTTGAATAGGCAGATTTGATTTTCCCAGACCCAGAGATGAACAGGAGACAAAGAGGGGGTGGTACTATGGGCATGAGACGGTATCTGTGCCACGGTGACTCTGTGAAGCGTATCTGTATTGTCTGCTCAGGTGATAAATATGCGAACCATCAGACCAATGGACATTGAAACAATAGAAGCCAGTGTCATGAAGACCAATCATCTCATAACTGTGGAAGGAGGCTGGCCACAGTTTGGAGTAGGAGCTGAAGTTTGTGCCAGGATCATGGAAGGTATTTCAGAGAAAATGGTTCTGGAATGCTCAAGCTGTAATAAACAGTGTGTACCTGGATACTGGATAGAGATCAAAAGCTAGGGGTGGCCAACAGTCTTAACTTTCAACTTGTCACCTTGGCATTTTTCCTTTGGCTAAATATTCTTAAAAAGCCAGAAGCCGTCCCGGTAATTAGTATTCCTTTAGATTTTCTCTCCTTTGGAGAGCCGTACCTCCTGTGGGAAGGTGGTGGTGCTAAGTGGCTTTTCTTGCCTCTCTCAGTTGCGCCTCCTTCTCTTCTAGGCCCTGCATTCAATTTCCTGGATGCTCCTGCAGTTCGTGTCACTGGTGCTGATGTCCCTATGCCTTATGCAAAGATTCTGGAAGACAACTCTGTACCTCAGGTTAAAGACATCATATTTGCAATAAAGAAAACATTAAATATTTAGTTTGGACTTGAATTTCAAGTCATTGGGATTTATTTAAAATACTTGCTGTCACTTCACCTGGATCGTACTGTAAGACCTTAGGATTCATAAAGTTATCCCTAAAGCAACAACGCAAATGTTTTTGTACTTGGAAGAAGTTTAAATGTGCTTGTATGTGGAAAAATTCTTCTCTCCTGCCCTAGACTCCATGGGGGTTTTTTTGGTCTATTACAATTACCATGTTCTTTGAATAAGGCTAATGTAAAATTTTACCCTCTCACAAGGACAAGGTATGAATGTGGCAGAGTTCTACAGAAAGATGTATCCAAAAATGACAACTTGTATGTAAAGATGAAAGCTATTATCTACATTTACTGTTAAGATTGTTTTGATACGGAATAAAGGAATTCCTAACTATGACTAATTGTATTTTTATTTTTATTTTTTTAAAGATGTTTATTTATTTACTTGACAGAGAGAGACACAGCAAGAGAGGGAACACAAGCAGGGGGAGTGGGAGAGGGAGAAGCAGGCTTCCCCCTGAGCAGGGAGCCCGATGCGGGGCTCCATCCCAGGACCCTCGGATCATGACCTGAGCCGAAGGCAGACGCTAAACAACGGAGCCACCCAGGCGCCCCTAATTGTATTTTTATATTCTTGAGGTAATAAATGTGGGATGGATGGAGGTCTTAAAATTCTGCTAAGAATTTCTGTTAAGAAATTAGTGACACTAAATCACCTAAACTGCCATCACACTTGTAACAGGAACTTGTCCACAGACTCTTCAAATGCCCAATTGTAATAGGGTTCCGTTCCAAATTAAACCAAAATTCATGTCAGGTATTTTTCCTATTGCCGAAAAATAGACATTCTGCCATATGCTGCCTTCTTTAGAAGTTGAGACAGAAAAGACAGGTTTAAATTAGTTATAGAAGCAAACAAGGGGTGCCTAATTTAAATAGCAAGACAGGATTGTTAGCTTTTAGTAATTAAGAGAGAAAAGATGACACAAATACTCCATGGAACTATTCTTTATAAAAGTTCCCACAAAAAATTCCCACTTCAAAGGCCTAGCCAAGCTACAGACAACACATTTTCTTCACATGGTTTATTTTAATAAAAAATACAGCTAAACATTTATCACAGATTAAATGAAACTATACACAATGACATTCTCTCTGCATAGTAACCAACACTGATGTGTGTACTTGAATTTTTAAATGGATTACTGATAATCCTTTAAAGTGCAATTTATTAAAGGGTTTAAGCAAATCATAGGATAAAGGATCTAATAAATGAGTAACATTAAAAAGATATATTTGGATAAATTTTTCAAAAATCAGAATTGATTTCTATAGATGCCAAATTTACTTGTGTTGTAATAATAACTCCCCACAAACCACAAACTTGACTTTATTGCTGAGGATTAAGGAGATCCTCTGATCGGCAAGAGCTTTTCCTGATGTTTACATTTTCTGCCCAATACACTCTAACTAAAAGGAACTAGGAGTCTAGAGTGGTTGCTTTCACAGCCCTGAGTTCTATAACCACAATGGTATTCCCGTTAGAACCTAGAGAAGGTTCTGGACTAGACTTGCCCCTGTCTATCTGAATGGAAAAGGAAGAACTCAGTTGCTTCTCTCACTCCGCAACATAACTATGCTTTGGACTACAGTGTTAATAATGTCCAAGACAAAATTAGGTAGCAAAAATGGGAGTTATCTAAGAACCAGAAAATGCTTTATAGAGAAATGAGAGGAACATTTTCTGGGAGCTGTCTGACAGGTTGGGAGGGATTGCAACCCAAAGGTCATTCACTGCTGTGACTGAACATTGTCACTGTTTTTCTGTCCGTTTCCTTCAGCTGGTGACAAGGTTGACTCCAATATGCTGCTATCCCCAAAAGAAGCCCATTAGAGGATGAACCAGACTCCTTTAAAATGGTAATAAAGGAGCAAAATATTTCTTAAGGCAGAAACGCCAGCCTGACTTTATTCTACTTGAATATTTCCCTCTTGAGAAGCCTCTTGCCTGAGCATCTGCAAAAGAGTCTGCGGCTGTCCTGGCTCAGCAATCATTCATCTGGAAAGAGTACTTCAGGGACTGGAGGTGGGAGGAAAAAACAAAGAACTTTTCCCTCCAAGTGTAAACACGAAGCTTTAGCCGATCTTAGGAGCACTATGATCACAGGTTTCGGCTTTCCTCAAAGTTCCCTTTTGGAAATTCTGGATGGAGCTGAGTAAGGCCCCGCGGCTCACACCGTTCACAGCCTGGGGCAGGAGCTGTGTAGGCACCTCTGGGCTCGCAGGAAGCAAGGGAGCTGCTGGTGGTGGAGGTGGAGGCGGAGGCGGAGGCGGAGGAGGAGGAGGTAAAGCGGACGTCCCTGGGGGGTGGGGGGAGGAAAGGGGACAGTGAGTATCATCTCTCCCAACACCCCACACACATGCTACTGCTCAGTCCCGGGTAGAAGGGACTTGGATGAGACTGCAAATGTGTTCCCCCAGAGGGACTGAGCTACGGTACTGTACAGTTTTTTAAAATGCTGAACAAGAAAGCTAGAAGCATCAAAGGGGAATTAATTCAAGGTTGCCATTTTCCCCAGATAATAGTCATCTAAGACTGAATATCACAGATTACATGAAACTATACACAGTGACCTTCTCCCTACGTAGATGAGGCTCTAACTCCATTTCCAAATTTTAGCAATGGTCCCAAAAGAAAAGTTCCATCAGCTACTTTAGGCAGGTCCAGGGCACCTACTGAGCTAGCAAGTAAAGACAGACATTTGTATGCACAGAGTTGGACTACCTGAGTATCAATTACTGATAAAGGATGAACATTTCTTTAGCTGCCCCAACACACACAATATTTGAAGGATGTGATTTAATAGAAAATGACAAAGCACTCAGGATTCTAGGCAAGGAACCAGTGCCCGCTGGGTTAAGGGTTCCCCAGGGGCACGTGTCTCAAATAATTTTCTATTAGGCTGCATTAGAGAAATATAAGATGCTAATAACTGTTAACAGTGCAAGATGGGGGGCAGAGGGCTCTCTCCCTGGCAATGGTATTCTCAGGGAGGAGTCTTCCTCAGCACCTTCTTTCCACTGGGGCCTAACCCAGGAACAGAATCGAGCTGCAATAACCCTACATCTTTGCTGAAGCATCAGGAGAGACTCTACCCTGGTGGGCAAGGAGAAGGAAACCGGACACGTATCTAAAACTTCCCTTAGCTTCCAGGCACACGATCATGTGGCAGTTGAATGTTATAATTCTGAATCGACGAATGAATTACTCTCCTAGGACAAAATAAAAACTGAGTACAGCCAAACACCTGCTTTAAAGAACTTGCTGGTGCCACAGTTACCTGCCCCATTACCTATGAACCTTGCAGCTCTCGGTGACTCCTGTGTCTGTTTCTAGCCTTAGCCTCGGCCCCTCCTAGGGCTACATAGCGAGACATTCTGTTAGGCGTTCTTCCCCTCTAACCTGCTACTGAGCTGGGGTGGTGGTAACAAGTAAACATACCAATCACCACTTGAGTTTCTGTGGATGAGTGGTTCAGGGTCACCAATCAAATTCTTAGGTAAGAGCATCCTTTTTACCGAGGGTGACACATAACAGTTCAAAGTCTTGTATTTCATAGAAAACCACTTACCTTCCTTACATCTTGAGTAAAATACTCAAACCTAAGGCAGCTGAAATTAAAAAATCACATACATACACACATTCATGCTCTGCAATCTCAGAATTCTCAAATGATGAAAATATAGCAATATGAATAAACATTAAATACAGACAAATGAACAAAATGTAATTCTCACTGGTTCCATAGAGTAACAACTAATGAATGAAGTTCTATTGCATTTTCTGCCAGGCTGGCTTATGGAAAAATGTTCCCAGCCTTATGTTACAGGGTTACTAAGATAAAAAGGACTTTAAACCCACAATGATTGCTAAGGTGAGAAGAGCAGGGAGAATAAGCGTGCTAGAAGGGGGTTTTGGAGAGTGGCCAGTGAAATCCCAGGAGGAGGGGGGGTGTCTCTGAAGGCTCTTGGGACTCAACAGCAGCACCAAGAGCTCCCAGAGGAGCCGCAGGTGCCGATACCCCGCAGCGCCACCCAATGGCCAGCATCTGGGTTTGACATTCCGTACCAGAAGGGGCTTCAGTTTCTGCCTGCCAGCTTTGTGCTTTGACCTTGGAGAAAAGTCACTGCAGGTTACAAGAAAGAAGACAGGCTCTGGGCTGCAAGTGCTAAAGGCACAGAGCAAGCCATCCAGAGACCCGTTACCCCTCCAGCCCGGGATTCTGGGTGGCTAGAGGTGGGTCTCAGCGGCTGGACCTAGATAGAGAACGAATCTGCTTGGTCCTCACGAGGAGCCGACCCTTGACTTTGGCTGCGTTACCAGCCACTCAAAAATTAAAAGTGCAAATTGACAATCTCAGAGTTTGGGAGGTGGTGGTGGTGCTCAGTACATGGATCTTTATTTTTCCGAGTAAAGGCTGAGACTGTTTTGGCTTTAAAAATGAATCTCCTTGAATATGTAGGTAGCATAAATAAATACACGGTCCCAAGTGTCACCGAGTAACCCATGCTTATGAAGCAAATGAGAAGTGGGGGTCTGTGCAAAAGGAGACGCTGCTCATCCAAGGGTAAGGAGCAAGGTCACCCTGATGTCTGCCCCAGGAGGGCCGGACCAGACCCAAAGGGCCTATCTGTCCCATGAGGCCCAATTTCCTCACTGGGCCTGCAACAACTAGGGCAGATCTTCATGTGTACAACCAGGGCAAGACAAGACCTCATCTTGCCAGCTCAGAACACTCTGGAAGTAGGGAGGAAGTCCCACAGTCAGAAGGTCAGGAGTGGAGGAAGCAAGAACACAGACCCAGGGACTCAGCCTCTGACTATAGGCCCCATCAGGGTTTTTTGGCCTTTTCATTTTACATTCTCTATAGTCCACAAGCTTCCTTTAAAGATTCGCTGGGGCTTAAGCTACAACATGTTCTAACAGTTGGCAATATTGATAGGGGCCCAGTGCAGAGTTGGCTATTGTGCCCGAGGCCAGCATGAGTGCCACTGACTCGTCCCTGCCAGCAGGTACCCAACAGCCCTTATCTCTAGGCCCCAGATAAGACCAGACAGATTCCATGTTACACTGGTTGCTAACTAACTAGAATTTAAATAAAAATTTGAAGGAAAAAAAAAGGTTGGTCGCTAACTGAATTCTCCCTGCTTTGAAAAATACTGGCCTGCAAACCCAGGATGAGGGATGTTCCAAAACAGTTCTCTCCCATCCTACCTACTCTTAGACAAAAATCCCAAAAGCCAACTACTTTACCCTCCCCAGAATCCCATCCACCAAACTAAGGAGAACCTGGCAATCCAGCAGAGGCCCTGGAATGGACCACAGACCGCTGCAGGAAGAGCAAAGGTTCAATCTAGGGTGGAATGCCTTGCTAGAAACATCCTCACCAGCCTCAGCAAAAGGACACCTGGGGGGGGGGGTGCCCTTTCTTTGGGGCCAGTTTTAGCAGTGGGCCATCTACAAGTCTCTGTAGGTGTGAGTTCCTTTGTGGTCTGCGAACGGAAGTGGGGAGACCATGGGGCCACCAGACCAACACCAGGACCTGCTAGCCACCCTCGAGAGGGAACAGAGAGCAGTGACCTCAGGAAGCAGGCAGCCCCACCAGCTCTTGCCAACTGCCTTTGTATTTTGTAGATGAGAAGGCTGCACTCATGTCCCAACTCAAGAATTATTAGGGATGCTTTAAAGAAAACTGTTTTCCCCAACAGTTATAAAAGCCAGTGAATTATCTTCCTGAAACCAAGAACTCAATCGGCTAACACTCTTTCCCTTCATCAGAGTGATAGGGAACCAATATGTTTGCTGCACTAAGACTCTGGGATCCTGTTTTCCAAAACTGAAATATACCAAAATGCCATGTGGTTGATTTGCAGTTTTAGAGCTGTATTTTAAAACTACAATCAGAGTGGAAATGAAGATTTTGAAGGTCATGGTGAAAATGAAATGAATGTAAATGAAGTCACTTGGGTGCTTTTTAAAGATGCTGTATTTCATTTAAATGTTCAGATAAGGAAATTGTCCCAAATCTGCTTTCCCATTTGTTCATCACTTCAGTGATCTAGATGCACTGGGGCCCATTTCACATCCAGAAACAGAGCATCTTTAAAGTTAGAGAAATTAGTATAGCTTACTTTACCGAAAATTCACGTTCAAAATGGTGCATGCTCTACTGAAAACAGCAAAGAGAGAGAAAGAGAAAGAGAGGGGACATAAGTCATTATTCGATTTTAGTGTCATTTAATCAAATAGTAAAAGAGAGCAAAATATTAGTCTGAATCACATGCTGATTATTCTCACTGCCAAACTAGGATCTACTTCACCGCAAAATGCATTGGTTTGTAAACACAACCGTGACCCTTTTAGAACAGGGCAAATATGCTAATACAGTAATCAGAGAGTCAATATGCTAAGAGAGTTGCCAGAGAGTCACTTTCCTCTTCATACTTTTTTCTATCCCCCCTCCCCCCCCCACCCTACCATTTGGGTAGGATTTTTGTTTACAAGCACAATACTCACTTCAGAAGACCAGTGAAGGTTTTAGTTCTCCCCCAGCCCCCGAAAAGTGGAATGGGTACAGGAAGTGTAATTAGTTCTATTGCTAAATAAGGACAGTTTATCAAGAAGGGAGAAAAATTAGAACCCATCACTTTTCTCAATCGAGTCTTCTATAATGTACAATGGAGACGGGTCTTTTTAAAGCTGGGAAGAGCAAGAGCACAGGGTAAGTCTAAGGTGAAACAGCGGCAAGTGGCCCCTCCCTGAAGGCCACTGGGATCTACAGGCTGAATTTCCGCAGTGAGTGACATTTGCTTACTTGTGGCTATAAAACCATTAAAAAGAAAACAAGCAAGGCAAACCTTGTTCTTGTCTTCCTTTTAGCTGACTAGATTCCAGGTTAAATGTGAAGGATAATGCTTTCCCTGACAGTGAATTCCAGAGCTCCTGATGAACGAAGAGAATCACTTCGTCTGGGGAGGGGCTGAGAAATGAGGCCCACAAGGTGCTGGGCGGGCTGACCACTCACAAGGGACAGATCTGGAAGGATGCTGAGGACACTGCCCTGAGCCACCTCCCACACCAGCCTTACCCCCTTGGGCTTGGATGTGGGGAAGGAGGGCTGAAAGAGGGCAGGAGAGCAGAGCCAAAATACTCTTCAGAGAAGCACTGAAGGCAGACCTGTTTGTCCCAAAGATGGCAACTGGTTTGTGTGTGTGTAGGTTTCAAGAAAAAGAGGCAATTCTTATGGCCAGAGACATGGATTTTGAGCCAAGAATGGGTTTCAGACTTTCACCTGGCCAGACACATTCTGGAAACTCCCAACATTCTAAATAAATATCTCTCTTTTTTGTGCCTTATTTATTCTTAACCATCCTTCCTATTATTCAAGCTTTCAGTCACTCTGTGCCCATAAGGCTCTGTTTTCCCTCCTCCATCTCTCTAGATCTGAAACGTTCCTCTCTCTCCACTCATCCTTACACAGAGTTTTCTTATAACTTTTTTTTTTTTTTTAGATTTTATTTATTCATTTGAGACACAGAGATAGAGAGAGAGAGCATGAGCGGGGGAGAGGCAGAGGGAGAGGGAGAAGCAGGATCCCTGCTGAGCCAGGAGCCCGATGTGGGACTCGATCCCAGGACCCCGGGATCATGACCTGAGCCAAAGGCAGACGCTCAGCCATCTGAGCCACCCAGGTGCCCCTACACACTGAGTTTTCTATAAATTGCCAGCTCGCTCTCTCCAAAATGACTGCTTTAAATTATAAGCTGCGAGCCAAAGGGCTAGAATTCTCTTGCAGGGCATTCATAGCTTATACTTAATAGCACGTTACTGGGCGCCTGGGTGGCTCAGTTGGTTAAGCGACTGCCTTCGGCTCAGGTCATGATCCTGGAGTCACAGGATCGAGTCCCGCATCAGGCTCCCTGCT